GCTTGCTCCTGACGTAGCCGCGAAGAAGGAGTGCTGAAATGTATTTTAGACGTGTACATGTTTTTACTCCTATTGCTACTTTGGCCCTAGACACAGAAATGAGGCCATGAGCACACTTTTAACAACTTGACATGTCCCAGGCTCTACTTAAAGTTGTAGCCCTAAGTTACCAAGACTTTCTGTTTCGTTGTTCTGCGTGAAAATAAGCTCCGCATTGCGCTCTTGCTGCCATGGATGAGAGAAGGGAATTGATCACCCCCTTTACTTCTTCTTATGGGGCACCTGCGACTCAGCAGTACCCTTTATTCCTTATATTGTACACCCCTATATATCCCCTTATAACCCCTTGAAGGGTACCTCTAATTTTGGGTACTCCGAATTCCTGGCCTGGGGTCACCAGCCTGGCCAGCTCAGACAAGGCCTGCAGCAGATCCCGACATACTGGTGCTTAGCACGGAATAGGGGAATATAGGGCTGTATAGGGTTACGGGATGAGTTTAGATAGGGTTATATAAGGTTGTATAGGGTGACATAGGGTTATATAAGGTCATATAGGGTTATATAGGGTTATATAAAGTTCTATGGGGTTATATAAGGTTTAGGGATAGTATGGAACAAGGGAATAGGATCCCTATATAACCCCTACATAAGATGTTGCCTTATTCCCTACTTACCAAAAGAAGCTCTTTTCTGATGAATCCGTTTGGGTTGATGTCAAGGAACTTAAGTTACCATAAGATGGATGATTTTGGATGTGTATTGAATACTACATGGCTTCCCTGTTTCTGTATCATAACTTCATTGAAACTCCATAAGAAAAATCCAGTCATGCAACGCTTCGACTATCACAGCCAGGCCTTTACGAAGCCTTGAACAAACTTGTGTAGCATGCACGCAACCACACTTACCCACCCACAGCATATCCTGGATTGGGGTCAAAACCTTCTCACAGACCTGTCCCATAGTTGACCCTATGCAAGGCTATGGAACCTGAGACGCTGGCATTTGTATAGTCTTCCTTAAGTAGATAGTAATAAGAGGTCCCCATATACCCCATGTTCTATCTACTTCAGGGAGACTATATGCCAAAAGCATGCAATGGACTGACAGGACGACACCTGCGTAATGACTTCGCCCTTATGATGCACGACGTCCCACCCCGCCCTTTTTCGAAACCTGCCAAAGCATTCATCATTACTCGAGGGGAGGGTTATTAGGAAGAGCTATAACGGGTTTAACAGAAATCACCGAGAATTCTACCTAAAAACTGAATAAGACAAATTAAAACCAAGAAAAAACTGATCTACCTCTCGTTAGTATGCACTGAAATCTAATCAAAATCTACAAAATCGGATTCTAGTCCTTTAGAAGCTACCTTTAAGAAGCCTTATCAAAATCAATTGAAATCGAATTGAGATCAAGTGACATCCATTAAAACCCAATTACAAGCAAATTCACACCAATTCAGATCTAATTGAAGTGGAATGAAAATCCAATGGAAGTTCGATGTTAAATGTATCATAAAAGCAAGTACACCGAATTAACATAGATTCAAAATCGAAATCAAATGACATATCCAAATCAAATGGTACCTGATGCTTTAAATTCGAAATCAATGTGTCAAATCAATATTTACATGGATTGGTACCTAGTACAGATCGAGTTAAGACTAATTCAATTTGCATCCGATGTTTTGCAAGTTCATCTGTAGAACCTAAATAAAACAATGAAAAGACCCAGGAAATCAACGGTTCCCTAATTTTCTGTGGTACCTGATTATAACCCCCAATTACCTCAGAACCTCCTAGTTCAGTGTTACGGGGATACCTTGCAAAAGTAATCTTATAGCCATTGAAAAAGGTCTGCAGGGGGAAGTGATTACTCTACCTTGAACATGGAATTTCCTGCATAAAAAAAATGCAGCCTGAGAGGTAGCCAACGTTATTATTGGACCTGCATGAGTCACTTTGGGACAATGTGAACCCACGCTTGCCACCCATTGGCAAAGGTGCATGATCAGACCGGTAACAAATCAGTAACGGATCGTTAATTGAGCATCATGTGCCTTCATGACCTTCTCTTCAACAGGTATAGCACGTCACAGCAGCCACTGTATTTAGAACTGTTGCAATTTGTCAGGGCAATAACATTTCGGGACCCCTGTGCGGGGCTGCTATGTTCTGCCACGCTGCCTGCCCAGCAGAGCAGAGTCCACCACCACAATCTTCATCGCTCACCTGGAATCGCTGGCCCAGTCGCCGTCACCCAGGCACTAGCACCCAAAAGTTCAGGCTCCAGAAAAGCGGTTCCGAATTCGGCGAACCGTTTCTAAGCCCTACGCCCTTCGCCTTGCAACAGGCACTGAAAAAGGCATACTCGGCACATTGCCTTGAGACCATCGGGTGTATCTTCACCACCGCCCCTGGCAAAACTGCGCGCTTTCAGTTGCTGAAGGCATGCAGGAAGGTCCGGTGAGTCATGTCACGATATTCCAAAATTGCGGCACGCTACTCCTGTACTCCCAGATTCTTGGCATCCTCCTATTCTTTGGAGTGATTCCAAACATCACTTGTGGCCAAAAAATCGCGCCTATGCACGCTTCACACAGAGATCTGGTGCTTTCATG